AAATTTTTTAATATTTTAATATCTTAAAATATATTTAATATTTATTTTAATTAATATTTTTATATACATTTAAAGTAGTAAAAAGACATAAAAAATAACTAAAAAAAAAAAAGACAAATCAAAACCACCAATAAGCATTCCCAAAAGAAGCCACTCAAATGAAGGGTCATTTTACTTAGAATTAGAAATAATGAAAATATGCAAGGCAAAAAGTGGTAGCAAATTGGAAAACTAAAAGTTCTTATTTCTCTAGTATTCAAACAAACATGAAACATCTGCAAATGATAACTCTGAAACCTTAATTACAAATTTACTTAAGATCCATTTTTAGCTAATTATTCAGGAAAAGAAACAACACGCATCACTCAAACTTTTCAGGAACAGAGCATTCTAGAGAACCCTGTTCATGCTTCTCAATCAACTTCTTCAATCTTTGGCCCTGACCCGGCGCCGCCAGAACTGGCCTTGCCATACCCGCCGCTGGGCATCTCAGCACCGCCACCCATTGGCACATCTCCACCGCCGCCCTGATACATCTTTGAAACGATTGGATTGCACAAGCCCTCCAATTCTTTCAACTTGTCCTCAAACTCATCAACTTCAGCCAATTGATTCCTTTCCAGCCACTCAATAGCCTCTTCAATTGCCTTCTCGATCTTCTGTTTGTCTGCTGGATCAAGTTTTCCGGCGAATTTCTCGTCCCTGACGGTGTTCCTCATGTTGTATGCGTAATTCTCCAGGGAATTCTTTGCCTCGACCTTCTTTTTAACCTCCTCATCCTCCGACTTGTACCTCTCTGCCTCTTGCACCAATCTCTCGATTTCATCCTTGCTCAATCTTCCCTTGTCGTTGGTGATGGTGATCTTGTTCTTCACCCCGGCAGTCTTATCTTCCGCAGACACATTCAAGATGCCATTGGCATCGATATCGAAGCAGACATTGATCTGAGGCACACCCCTTGGGGCCGGAGGGATGCCGGTGAGCTCGAATTTGCCAAGCAGGTTGTTGTCCTTGGTTCTAGCCCTCTCACCTTCATACACCTGAATTAGCACCCCTGGTTGATTATCGGAGTAAGTAGAGAAAATCTGCTCTTTCTTGGTCGGAATTGTAGTGTTCCTCGGAATCAAGACTGTCATTACACCACCGGCAGTCTCGATACCCTGACTCAGAGGAGTGACATCCAGGAGAAGCAAATCTTGGACCTTTTCATTCCCTTCACCGCTCAGAATTGCGGCCTGAACAGCAGCTCCGTAAGCGACCGCTTCATCGGGGTTGATGCTTTTGCAGAGCTCCTTCCCGTTGAAGAAATCCTGCAATAGTTGCTGCACTTTAGGAATCCTAGTAGACCCACCAACAAGAACAACATCATGAACCTGGCTCTTGTCAATTTTAGCATCACGGAGACATTTCTCAACGGGCTCCATGCATTTTCTGAACAAATCCATGTTCAATTCTTCAAATCTGGCTCTTGTGATGGTAGCATAGAAATCGATTCCTTCGTAGAGCGAGTCGATCTCGATCGTGGTCTGTGTCGTTGAAGACAGAGTCCTCTTCGCCCGCTCACACGCGGTCCTAAGCCTCCTCAAGGCCCTTGCATTGGAGCTCATATCCCTCTTGTGCTTCCTCTTGAACTCTTGAACGAAATGACTCACGAGCCTGTTGTCGAAATCCTCACCACCGAGATGGGTATCACCGGCGGTGGCCTTAACTTCGAAAATCCCCTCCTCAATCGTCAACAGGGAAACATCGAAAGTCCCACCTCCCAAATCGAAAATCAGGACGTTCTTCTCTCCCGAACTTGACCCCTTCTTATCCAATCCGTATGCAATTGCAGCAGCCGTCGGCTCATTGATAATCCTCATGACATTAAGTCCGGCGATGGCACCGGCATCTTTAGTAGCCTGCCTCTGCGAGTCATTGAAATAGGCAGGAACCGTAACCACGGCGTTCTTCACAGTATGACCCAGAAAAGCCTCGGCAATCTCCTTCATCTTAGTCAACACCATGGAAGAAATCTCCTCAGCCGCAAACTGTTTCTCTTCCCCTTTATAAGTAACCACGATCATAGGCTTGTCACCAGGACCAGCAACGACCTTAAATGGCCAATGCTTCATGTCGCCCTGAACCGAAGGGTCAGAGAAACGACGACCAATAAGGCGTTTAGCGTCAAAAACAGTGTTCTGAGGGTTCAAGGCGACCTGGTTCTTGGCAGCATCACCAATGAGCCGCTCGGTGTCAGTGAAAGCAACATAGGAAGGTGTAGTCCTGTTGCCCTGATCATTGGCAATGATCTCGACGCGATCATTCTGCCACACACCGACGCAACTGTAGGTAGTGCCAAGATCAATACCAATTGCCTTGCTTTCAGCTTTTGATGCCATTTTGTTTATAGAGAGAAAACAGGGAGGATGCAAGTATAGAAAGAAACAAAAGAAACGCAACAGAGGATTTTTGTTTGGGTTTTGAGAATGTGTTTTCTAATTGTGTTTGCTTTGGAAACTTGTTCTGATCTGAGAGCGGTAAAGATGGGGAGAGTATATATATGAAGGTGAATGGAGGTTATGGAGAAATTTCGAGAGGATAGTAGAAGAGAAAAGAATATCGAAGGGAAGGGCGGGGAAGGTAAGAGAGGAAGCTAGAGAGTTCTGGAGAGATGGGGAAGGGGGGTGATTTAAATTGAAGGTTAATAGAACTTAATTTTGGTCCCTCAACTTTAAGGGTTTATATAGTTTTCATTCTTTATTTTTTTTTTATACTTTTTGTTATTTTTTAATTATGAAAAATATATTTTTTAATTTATTTTTGTCGACTAATCAATTAACTTTATTTGAATTTATATTTTTAGTCCATCAACCGTTAATATATATATATTTTTTATTCATCAATTTAAATTTTAAAAATTAAAAATATGTATATTTAGATAAATTTAATTGATTAACTAATAAAAAATTTTTAAAAATATTTTCTTCATAATTAAAAAATTAAAAAAGTACATTAAAAAGTTGAGAGGTAAAAATTATGTAAAATTTTAAAATTAAGAGGTCAAAATTGACATTTAACTTTAATTAAATGATGTTTTTGACACGTGAGTTGTCTAGAAGGTCTTTATTTTTATAACATGGGAAAAAATACTTTGGGAGGGGGGAAGTGTTTTCTACAGGTTCTAGATGAGGGTAGAACTTTCGACCCAGTAACCTCAAAATTATGAGTTGGGAATCAATTAGGTCAACTGGCTTGGTTCGGTTGTGTTTGAATGAATCAAAACAACACGTGGACGGCCGGAAACTACCTAAACAAAAGGCCCTTTTACCCTTTTTTTTTTTTTTTTTTCCCCTAGAAACTAGAAAATAGTGTTAATTATGGTACAAATATACATTAAACACTAAGTCCTTTAATTGATTTTGTGATGTTAAATTTTGCTAAATTATTATTATTAAAATTTAACAAAAAACTAATAATAATAATTAAATTTATATTGAATATGTACTTGTGAGCCAAGTGGTTTTAACTACTCTCGTAGAGTTCATATTCCTCTCCTCAAGAGCAATGGTTCGAGTCGATCCTATGATTAAAATGTTCAAAAAAAAAATTAAATTTATATTAATTTTTAAAAAAATAGAATTTGAGATGATAAATTGGATCAACACTTTTTTAGTAATAATTTGGTTTAACGCAATAATTTTGAGGGAAATTTGCATATTTTTTCTTATATATTGTATGAAAATATTGAAAAAAGTATTTTATTAAAAACAAAAAATTGACATGTAGACATTTTAAATGTTAAGATTTCTTGTAACATTATTTAAATATAGTTAATAAAATTTTTTGTTTGTTGATTTATTAAAAATATTTTATTTTTTAATTATTATTTCTAACATTTTAATTACTAAAACATTCTAATTTTTTTTCAATCCCAATAAAAAAAGTTTAAAATGAAGTGAAAAAATAATAAAGATGGAGGAACTATTAAGTACAAGTAAAAATATAATTACAATAATA